TGCGGCTGACATCACCGGCCCCGGCTGCCATTGGCCACGCTCGGATTTTTTTCAGCTGGGGCTCTCGCGTGGGCCAGGCCTCGCTCACGGCATCTGTGCCGCGCGAGCTGACAAATAAAAATATGATTAGAGAAAGTGCCCCGTGGCAAACCTTATTACGGCTCCCGAGATAACAGATAATGCCAATTACTGTGCAGGGCGGTGGTGACAGTGAGGGGAAATCCCCTGCGGTAATGCGCGGCAAGATGATTATTTCGTTTTATTTTTATTTTTGTTGGATTTCATTTTGGTTTCTTTTTTTCCCGAGCGTGCACAAGAGGGGTTGCGCAGGTCCTTTATGAATATTGATAAATGACAATTATGAGGGCCCTTTCTCCTCTCGTAGCCCGGGGCTGTGCCTGCTCCCGCGCGCGCTCCTGCTGATGCGTGTGCACGGGGAGGGGGGCAGCTGAGAGAGGCTATAGAAGGAATCAGAGCTTTGTCTGAGTTTCCCTTGTGCTCATCCCAGGGCAAGGGGGGAAAGGATGTTTATTAGATAATGCTTCAGGATTTCACAGTGGTAATACCAGAATCTGTGGTCAGATTCCTGCAGGCTGGAGCTGCCAGTCACTGTCAGTAAAGGAAGCATGTGCTCAGGAGAGACCTGGGATATCTGTGAGAGGTAGAGGAAGTCAGAAAGTGCCCAGTGTTCTGAGAAACTTGTTGTGTCAGATGGCATCGTCCTTCCAGTGACTCTTGCTTTGCCTTGCTTCATTTATGTTACAGTGTTGTGCCAGGATAATCTATCAAATACTTAGGATGGCAGCAGTTGGGCACATGGAAGTCATGGCTGAAGGCCTCCAATGTGCAATCGGTCTAGAGACTCTGGAATTTGTTCATATTGCTTTGCATCATGGTCCTTCGGCCTTTCAGATTTCAAATTTTCCTCCAGAACACTGTGAGTTAGAAAAATACCTTTTCTCCCTCATGAAACCTGAGATTCCCCAAGAATTGCCCAAATTCTGGCATTTCAGGTTGATGATTGACACTTGCTCTGAAAAGCCAAGGATTTTCATCTTTCCCTTGTACAGCAAACTGGAGAAAACCAACCAAGGTCAGCAGCCACCATGCCAAAGGTTGCATAATCAGCTCAGCTCAGGTCAAAGAGCGCATCCTTTTATTATTATTTCTTTATATAATCTGCTGGACACCCCCAAATGGAATATTCTTGTTGTAGGCATAGCCAGGCAATGTTCTCTGGCATGTGCAGTAGTGGTGATCAGAGCTGACAGTCTGTTCTGGCTTTGAAGTGCATAAAAATAGCCAAGCTTTGTAGGGAGGGGCAAGGTGTTTTAATAGATCAGCAGAAAGAATTGCAAAAGAACAGGCACCATTTTGGGCAGCCCGGGCCTTCTCCAGGACTCTTGATGTGTTTGTAGATGTCGTCCTTTTTCCTAGGCACAACTACATTTACTTGTTCTGCAGAATTCAGTGAAAACTCGCTACATCTGAGCATAGCAACCGTGACTCTAAACAAAGATGCTTCTGGAGGGAGCTCTAAGTTACACATTCAAATCGTGTTTCCAGAAGCAAATGAAAAATAAGATGAAAGGCTTTTTCTTCTCGTAAAAGTTAAAAATATTGCTTCTCTGCTGCTATTAATTATTACTGATAAATGATTTGTGTCACAATGAGCTTGTGCTGAGCACTTTTAAGAGACATATTGCGAAAAATTATTCTGTGGTCTGGCCCTGCAGGGAGTGTGGGGTCAGTAAGAAAAGCATTTGCAAAGTAGCCAACAATTTGATTATTACAAACGACCTGCAACTACTCCAATTAGGAGGTTTCTTGGGTTAGAAATATGTGACCTACAACATGTTGTCATAGAAACGGATACGAATGTTTCAGCTCAAAAATCACTTTAAAATAATGAGTTAGATCATCATCTGTGCCATGTGACATAGCTTTTTTGAATCTGATATCCTGTGTCTACGCCACACACCTTCTGCCAGGCCTGGATGCCAAGGGGAGGGTGTCTGCCTTGCCTCTGCCTTTCCCATAGGCAGCAATTGCCTGCAGTGCAGCTGAGGAGATATTTCCGGAACTGGAGGACGGCCTGGACGGGCAGTGGAGGGAGCTAGAGAAGCAGTTGAATGGCAACACCAGACAGCAAGCGGTTTTGCACCACCTCCAAGATTCGTATCAGTTTCCCTAGCACTGTTTTTGCATCTCTCTCTCCCTCTTGCGCTACACAGGAATTGCAGGGCCTTTGAAGGAAGGGATGTTGCAAAGTGCCCGAGTGTGCGTGCCTTCCCCGGCGTGGCTCGTTCAATGCCTCCCGTTCACTCCACTCTCCTTTCAAAGGGCCTCCTATGCTGGTTCACGGGCCAGCTTCTTACACTGTCGTCTCGGCTGAGGAGCTCTGGGCAATCTGTTTGCATCCTGGATCAGAGACCTGCAGACTTTTTTCTGCAGGGTGGTGCTGCATTTCTCTTTCATATTCCATCTCAGCATATGCAAGGCTCAATAGGAAACTTAGCACTGTTTGTCACTAAAGAAGCTGCTTTCTTCTCTTTTGATTTTGCAGTCATGTGGTAAAGCCCCTACAGCGCTGGAGCCTTTAGAACAATGAAAGGGTAACGAGTCCTCTGCTCACCTGCAGGGAGAGGAGCTGATGCGGTCATATAAGACATGGAGAGCCAGGGCGATTGGCTGGAATGAGACCAAATTAAATGCATTTTCTCTGCAATGTTCCATTAATGCCAAGTAATTACCACATACGGTGGGATTTTTGTTTTGTTTTGTTTCATTCTGGCACTAGAGAATTCTTTCCAAATATGAATGCATGAGGCCGTCCGTGCTGCTGGGCTCTTAGGTAAATTATAGCAAGCCTTCCCTATTCCCATATGTTCTTCTCCCTTCCTTCTGGCATTTGAAAAGCTGGCGTAACAAAGATGGGAAATGCAAATGCAGAGAGAAAGTCTCATCTCCAATGGCAAGGATGTGAGTTCTGCTATTCTGGTCCAGACTCTGGGTCTCAGTTCTGTCCCCGAGATGCGGCTTCCCCAAATACAAAGGCATCCTAATATGGAAAGGAGAGAGATGTCCCAGCTAGACTAAAATTTTCAGCAGGGGCACTGAACTGTCTTTTGGTTGAATGCGCAAGCGCTGCTTGGTCACACAGGCACCCTCATCTCTGAGTGGGGTCTGCAAGTGCTGCCACAATACGGAAGAACACTCACGATTGCCATGAAATTCTCTGCCAGCCATCCATATCCTGGCACTAGGATCAGTGTTGCAGGAGGGATGGGGAGGCAAAACTGCTCTATGATATCTCTTTTATTTTGGGGCCCTGTTCAATCAGCAATAAATGTATAGCTTTTTCACAGCATCCTCACTCTTCTCTCTCTTTTGAATGACCTGGGGTGGAGGCAAGAGCTGATAATTTCCCTTGATATTATTTTGGTGAGTATCTGGAGCCAGAAGGAAAAAAAGAAAGAAAGGAAGGCCCTCATGTTTTGTAATGGACAGGCATCCATGTGGGAGAAATGCTTTTGAATCTCCTGTATTAAGGTCATGCTGTGCCTCGATCACTCCATCTCTCAGCGAAAAGCAAAAGCAGGATCTTTAGTGTCAATTTTGAAGTGAGGTATTAATGCTGGCACTGTTCCTAGAGAACTACCCCTGGCGTTAGTTGGCTTCCTCCCTGACTTTGCCAGCTAACAGGCTGCAGGCTGAATGAGCAAAGAGCCACCACCGCTGAGAAGCACCTCCTGCTTTATGGGGAACTTGCTACTGTGTCCTAATCACCAGGCAGGAGGACTCGATCCCCCAATTGGATTAAGTCTTCCCAGCACCCAGTTAACCAAACCAGTTGTAGGATGGGAAATGTCCAGGATAGCAGCTGGAGGAAAGATTAAGTTTTGCTCTACTGTCTCATTAGTGTCCAGCTTCCCTGGCTTGCCTCAGGTCTGTGGGCTCTTTACTCCATTTCACTGCTGGGGCTGGGACTTGTTCAGATTTGGCAGATGTTGACAATCTAGCATTTGTCAGGGGCTGCTGTCCTTGCTAATGGCATTCAGGAGTTCTTTCCTGACCATTAACTGTTCATTCACTGTCTTTGGAAATATTTGCTTGTCACTCAGCCCCAAATTTTTGTCAGATAGTTGGAGATGAGTCTGTCTGTTGACCGTCTTGGTATTTATTCCATGGTAGATAAGTCTTCTGTCTTCATTTACACTGAAACTTTGATTGGTATGAGAAAGACAGAGATTATAAAGCACCTTTTGCTTTTTCAGATAAAATAGTCACAGTTTTGAATCATACTGCTCGAGTTGCTTGCCCTTGATTAACAAGACACATGGCAGCTTTAACATGCAGGAGTCATTTTTATACAAAAAAGGAGATCATATTATACCCTGTAGAAAAGGGAGTGGAGGGAGGGAGTTCTAAGACTCAATGTGATAAGGTAAATGTTGTTTCATCAACAAGACATCAAAGACACAATTTGCAAAGACAATAGACAAGTTTCTTCTTCAGTCTGCCTGGTTTTAAAGTGTTTCCTCATCCCTGTGACTCTTGAAGAGTTACAAATAGCCAAAAAAAGCAAAATCACATACATCAGGAATGGATATTTGGGAGATGGTCTAAACTTTTGAGAAGATTGCATATTGGATGTGTTATTCTCCTGTCTGGGACAGGAATAAAAACAAAGTCAATTAAAATGTAAAAGGATGGAGACTATGCTGGCTAAAGAACCAGCAAATTGTGGAATGGGAAGAATGCCCAGGATAATTAAATTTTGATCCTTCTCTTACAGCCACAGGGACTTAAAACCAGAAAACCTACTATTGGATGAAAAGAACAACATCCGGATAGCAGACTTTGGGATGGCATCACTGCAGGTTGGAGACAGCTTGTTAGAAACCAGTTGTGGGTGAGTGTCTCAGAATTATTGCACAAATCAATGATGGATTCCAGGCATAAAGGTTGTCTTCAGTAGGGGTTTTGATGGAAGCCTGTAGACTTACACCATGCACCATTATTTCCTAGTAAGATAAAAAATTGATATATAGTGCATAAGATAACTAAAAGGTTTTTGTAAATGGTTAATGCCAAGAAGCAGTCCTCTGACCTCGTCACACATGGATATCAAAATGAAAGCATTCAAGTCTGGATTCATCTGCAGAAGTTGGCTTGTGTTAACTTTCACTCGCTGTACATTACTTACAAAATGGAAAGCAGTAGTGATGGTATTTTAAGAAGAGGCTTTAAAAATATTAATGATTGGAGAGAAAAAAAAAATGTAAAGAATTGAGTCTGCAATTTGTGTGTGGTGTTCAGGCTACCTGCTTGCATCTCCATTACTGCTCCATGCTGCTTGGCTGCTGGCTCCCGTGTAGGATCAGCAGGGAGGCAGTGGGCTCCTTGGCAGCTACAAGTAGGGCACGAACACAGATACCCAGAAGACTGCCTGAAGAAATCTTGCAGGGGGGAGCTAGAAACATTTCCAGGCTCATTTTATTGCCAACAAGAGCTTCCTAGGACTTTCCAGGGGAAGCGGCAGTGCTGCAGCTGGGCGAAGCGCGGTGCTGGGGCGCAGCTGGCAGCGCATGCCGGTGGCCCTGCCACGCCACGGTGCCCTGCACAGCCACAGCGCACCTGTAGCTGTGCCCAAATGCTTGTATTGGTGAGCTCAGCGACTGGACGTACAGCTGGTGCTGGCAGCTTGGCACCTCCTCCCCTGCAGACCTTCCTGGCCTGCGTGGTGGGAACCAGATGACGACAGCTGCAGCCTGTTGCAGTCCGGGTTTTTGCAGTCTGTACCCAGTGCCAAGGCGGTTCAGGGTAGACATGGAGTCATCCCCATTCCCTGTGCAGCCCAGCCACTGCCTGTCATTCCTGAGCTGTACCACTTCCATTTTCCAAATCTTTGATAAGGGATTGAAATATTGTTTGAAATTCATGATGGGATCAGATGCTGGGTGATGAATACGCGGAGGCCCACCAGGTCCTTTCTGTCTCTGTGCCAAGTCAAGATGTGAGCTCTTAAGAGCGCAGCTAAGGAGCAAGGAACTATGAGTCGGCACATTGTCACAGCCTTGGTCAGACTTCCTCTCTCGACTGGGAAATGAAGTCCTTGATGCAGTTATTACAAAGTCTCCATATGCTTTAAAGAGAATATCCTGCTTTCCTTCCCTGGTAAAAAAAAACAACAACAACAACAACAACAACAACAAAAAACAAGGAAGAACCTGATCTCCTGCTGCCATGCAGGCTCCTTCATACTCCTAGGGGACCTCTCAGTGGGGTTGCTGTTCTTGTTAGCAGAGGGCTCTGTTGTCTAGGTCTGGCGCCTCAAAGGGAGCCTTCTTGTCCTTAAGCAGTGCAGGAATTCAAACCTCCGTGGCTCGAGCGGAGGCGGCCGCCACACTGCAGCATCAGGACGTACTAATAAAGAAATCAATGGCACGGAAGAGACGTGCCTGTAATAAACACAACACGCAGCGGCACTGTGATCTCCTGCCTTGCAGATGCATTTTAAGTATGGTGCCAATCACTAGGCCTCCATGTGAGCTATTACACCACTTCATTAATTCTCCTGGCATGGAGCCCAGCATGGCTGATACTGGTGCCTTGTGATGTATCTGGTTTAGGGGGCGAAGGGAGGAAGGAAGGAAGGAACGTGTAGCAGTATGACACTTCACAGAGGAAGGCAATCAAGTGCTCGCTCCCCTTCCCCTGGAGCACTTGGGAACAAACCTTGGAGCTTTTCAAGGCAACAGTTTCACCTACCCTTGTAGTTGGGGCTTTCAGCCAGCATGAAAAGGAACAAAATAGATGGAATCATGGCTGAGATACTGAGCTTTAATGAGCTGTTCCTTCATGCACTCAGAAGTTAATTTCCAGAATGGTTTTATCTGTGCTGTGAACACTGATAATGAGATGAAACTGTAACATTTCCACTGACAGTCATGCGAGGAGTCTCCAGGTATTTCTGTCAGTTGGAGTGGGAGGATGGGACAGGCTTTAGCATGTGATGCAACCAACTTTCTGTCAGTGCAGCAGAGCGCTTAGAGTGCAGTCAAAAATACTTTTCCATCCAAAGAGAACTGCCAAGTATAGTCTAAAGTTTGGATAGGCTTTAGGTCACCACAGAGCTTTGAGTGATCTCAAGAAGACACTTAGTGCCTTGAGGTAGGCAGCGTTGCACTCCTCAGTGTTTGATGGGTGCTACTCATCAGATCAGCGCAGTTTTCTGTAGCACTGCTGGTACTAGGAGGAGATGATAAAAGTTCAATCTAGCTGTGGTTTTGTTTTTGGTTGGGGAAGATGGAGAAGAGGTAGGGATGGACTTGCTGTTTCATTGATGTAATTCGTCGCTGACAGACTTCAAGGCAGGCCTTGGTGGTGAGAGAGTTTGTCCAGTCGCTCCTGAAATGTCACTAGGCAAGAGAAATGAGTGTGTTAGGGTTAAACCTCTGGGCTGGAACCAAGGAGATCGGAGATTAGTTTCTTTCTCCGATGAAGGAGACATTATCTTTCCTTGCTTCTCTTTTCCATCCTAACAAGTCATGGTGCTGCCTAACTCTCTCTGAACATGACTTACAGTCCCTATGGGAGTCTTAGAAGGAGCAAGGGTTGAACCCTGCACCTTGTTCCCCTTTCTCAAACTAAGAGGTCTCATGGCTAAAATGAATTGAATTGGGATACTATTGAATTACAATTATTGGGAGATTATAATAATCTTTCCTAATTCCATGTTGTTTCCTACCATGTCCTAGAAATGTGGCAAAATAAATTTTCACAGTCTCCTCGCTTCTCTTCATTTCATCCATCTCAGCCTTGAAACACAGAGTCTCTGGTGGAAGGAGGTTGTCATGGGCTGCCTGGTGGCTGGGAACTCATCAGTGGTGATAGTGCCTGTACTGCCTGCCTCCAAATCCCTCTATCCCAAACAAACAAGAGCAGAGGCAGAGCTGGTGTGTAAATGCAGCTCACCCGCACACCAGACCGGTCGCTGGAGGGGCAGTCGCTGCAGAGCCTGACACCGCAGCTGCCAGGCCTGCAGCGAACTGCGGCTGTTCCCCCATATCACTGTCTCCACAGGACATCCTTGGCCTCATCCAGAAAGCTGGTGCATGTGGGAAGAACAGGGGTGATTATGGCCTCTAATTGTATCGAGAAAGCTTTGCACCTGTTAGTGGCGTAATAGCTCTCCCACAAGACCATTCCTAGCAACCTTTTGCAGGCCCACAGACTACCCAGGTCTACTGAAAAAAAGTGCGTGTCCTTGTTAACACTGTTGCTCCTTTATAAGCTCAAGGCATTTATAACAGCCAGGGCACTGTGTGTTTATTTGAGGAGCTAGCAGAGGTCATAGAGCTTCCCTGCGCACCTGCATGTGGGGTATGAGGAGTTTTATCAGCAGCGTGATGCCACGCACCCCATTTCCCATTTGAATGGATCCATCACATGATGCCGTGCGTATTTCCTTCCTCTTTACACACTTGTGTACAAAAAGATGTGCATGTTTTTAGAACATATGTAAGCACGCTATATCCAGATATACATTAGGTTTGCAAATTTAGGCTCTAAAATGAAGAAATGAAAGAATTAGTATCTCTTAACCCACCTCACTGAGAGCTTCCCTTCCCAGCACACTGCTCCTGTCTCTCTTCTTGATTTTCTCTCTCCTCTTGCTGGCCTCCCAGTCATCTTTCCTCCATATTTGGACTTAAATCCCTGATCATTAGAGCTAGAATCTGGTGAAAAACAGAAAAAGATCAGGGATTTAAGTTTCCAACGCACTTGTTTGACCAAGACCATTGATCTCAGTCACAGGTCTAACTACCATTAATTTTGCAGTCATTCAGGAATTCTTTGTTTTGATGTTTGGTACCTTATGATAACCCCAAACAGAGCAGCTCATAGTATCCCTTTCAGGAAAAAAAATATTGTTTGGTGAAGTATGACCCATGGAAGTAGAATTTTTATCCTGATGTTTTAGAGAATTTATGCTAATAGATACAAACCGCAGCTTTCCAAGGGCTATGCCTGAGTAAATTTTTGCAGAGAATGCAGACAAATATCCAAGTTTTCTCTTTAGCTTTTACGATGCTAGATTTTGTCATTTTTCATGGGAAAAACATATTTAAAGTAAATTAGGCTAAATAGTGGAATTGTTTTGGTCAAAAGGTTCATGTGCTCATGCGAATAGTCATTCATGTACAAGCATGAAACTATCTGAGGGAACAAGGACAGATTGGTGGTAAGTCATAAGCTACATAAAATGAGGATTACAAAAGTGAAGCATTATTAATAAATATTTACACCAGCCTCGCCTATAATACATCCCAAAGTCTATTAAAAGAGCTTTAGGCTTGCGGAGTCAAACAGTGGAAATTTAAAATATGCTACTTTTAAAGTTGCCGGTATAATACTAGTTTGGGCTCAAACTGCCCATGCACATTAGAGTACGGGCATTAGTTACGAGCTTGTGCAGTTTTTGGATAGTGTTTTTCTGAGTGAGTAGCTATCTAACATTTGATTTATTCTCATCATTCATTGCATGAACCCCTTTATAATTTCTGCTTACTGCATTCAAGCCTTGTTTTCAATTCTAGGTCAGATTTTCATCATAGCATCTTAGGTTTACAAATGTTATATATTGTTTTCTTATCGACTGTGTGAAATATTAGTCTTGTTATCTCCATTTATATGAGGAGATTCAATTTCTAATTCTCAAAAATTAAAGTCAAAATTATCAGCCAGTTTTGAGTGCCCAATTTGATACTCTGGGGTCTGATACCTCTGAATACTCAGTGTTTGATGGCAGTGCTTTATTTTGAAAGCCCAGCGCCTACTGACTGCAGCTGCTGCTCTAAGGGCTTGTAAATACTGTAAATCAAGCCTCACATGTGTCACCTTGTGATTTGGAAAAGCGGGGAACCTGCAAATCGTGATTATCTGTGAATGGCTCAGTTTAAGATACCCGTCCTATTTACAGCAGGATTCTGTAGCTGAGAGAGAGTTTGATTAACCACTGTGTCACTCAGCTGCCTTTAGCACAAGCTTGTCCTTCATGACACTAAACTTCCCTCATTTTACTACAGAATTTCCAACTTCAGCCATAAATAAAGGTGTTTAGGCAGCACATCCACCACACACCCGGGCTTATCCTCAGAGCGCAGTGTAACTCTTTCAGGCTTCATTTTAGCATCTCTAATTTTTGAATACTTAACATTGCCTTAATATGTCCTTTTAACATAGGGGTGTTTAATTTTTTTAAATGAAAAAGTCTTAAAGGAAGTCTTCTTAAAAGACTTTTAAAGACTTCTTCTTAAAAGACTCTTTAAGACTGAAGTCTTAAATGGTTTGAACTCATAAACTAATTAATGAACTGATTTGCAATTTCTCAGAAACTGTGTTTGTGCTTGAGGAATAAACAGCTGTGAAATGGTCAAGGGCTAGATGGTGGTTTTCTCTTGCAAAGCTAAGTGACTGAACTGAAGCTTCAGCTGCAGAACAGCGCTCAGCATTAACTACAAGCACTGCCTCAGCCTTACCCACAGCTACTACGTTAACTGCAGCCAGCAGTTCCACCTGCTATTGGAACCTGTTTCTTCCGTCTCTCCCTGCCTTCCTTCCCTGTGTGATCTGTGCCTGTCACTTCCTCTGCTCAGTGTGCTCTTGTGTGTATCCTTCTCCTGAACAGCTCCCTTTATCTGTCTTGCTACTCCTCTGTCTTTCCCCTTCATCTCAGCTCTTTGCTACCCAGCATGAGGGGAAAAGCAGAGGAAGCCTTTTGCGCTGGTGGAGACCTTTGGTCTGTGAAAAGCAGCTTGGAGAAAGGCAAAAAAAGGGACTATAGCATCCAAGCCACAGCAAAAACATCAGCCAGACAGAAGAGGACTTTAGTGCACTTGTACGGCCTGTTTCATCAAGGTAACTGCATGCACGAGAAAAATGGAGGGAGAGAGACTTCTCCTTCCTCCTTTCTACAGAAGCAGGTACCTGCAGCTGTGAGACTTGAAGAGCTTCAAGGAGCCAGTCCTCCTTGCCCACGCAGTACCATCTTAAGGTGTAGGACCAACGGGTGCCTCATCTGGGCACCCATCTATAATGGGTCCTGGGAACCTGTCAGTGTAGGGCTGTCAGAAATGGGACCTGGGAACCTGGCAGTGCAAGCACTGTCAGAAATCTTGTTTATCATGATGGAGATGGATCAGGCAGAACTCGACTTTCCCACTGCTTCCTGATCAGCTTTGCAGGGGAAGCAGCTACCGGTTATTCACATAACCACAAAGCCTACATGGATAGTTGATTTTTGTGTGCAAAGTGCAGACCTCTGTTACTTATGCAGCAAGTCTGGAATTGTTTGCACATGTGACAGACAACATCTGCACTACGGATATGACAGTGGTTGCCTCAGACCTACTGTAGTTGCACAGGATCTTGATGTGCACAGTAGCTACTTTTCTATTTTTTATGATTTGTAATGCCGAAATTTGGAGTAACTATATTGAGAGTACATGCATTTCTCTCTCCTAGTGATAATGAATGACTTAGCAGGCAAAGATTGTCCTAGATTTCACCATTGCAACTTTGGCTTGTTTGCTGTGGTTGAAATCCCACACAGATGCTTTGATAAAGACCCAAAAGTCCTTAGGTGACCGTGTCCAAAAGACATAGATAGCTGTGGCACGACCGTTCAGAGAGCCTTTCCTGCCCCAGGCAGACCAGCTTGGGAAAATCAGCATCACCCTTCGTATAAACACTGCCAGCATTGGCACTTTTTTGCAGCAGCACCTGCAGGCAGCAACTGCTTCTTGATCTTGCTGAGCGATATATTTATTTGTTTTCAAGGGCAAACTGTGGCTTCTGCTGCACAGAGATGTAGCTGAAAGATGAGGCGATGGCCTAGGGGAAGAGGCAGGGAATGTCGCTTTGACACACGTATACTGAATAATTGGGATAAGAACCAAAGAAATATTCATGACTCTGTAGAAAGATAAACAGATTTTTGATTAAATTTGAGTTTTCTCTTTAAAGCAGTTGAAGTTGCTCTGTGATTGGCAGCATGGAAATGAGTTTTCTATGGATTCTGGCTGTCCGGAGGATCCCGTTTAGAGCTGTTAGCCAAGATAATGCTGCAGATATCTAGCTGCTGTGTGCTGGCAGGAATTCAGAATGGCTGTGCCAGAAACCTGTGCTCTCTGGGCAGTTGCAGTGCAGCTGTTGAATGATCAAATTAATCCAACCTGTTCTCTATGAGCTTCATCCATGCAGCCTACCCCAAAATCCATCCCAGGTCCACCAGAGAGTTTATTTCACTATTTACATATCTGGCTTAGCTTTTAGTGAGACGGTGTGGCTGGTTTCCTCCTTGGCTGCCTAGAGGTGCTTTTTGCCTTTTTTGTTTGTTTGTTTTTGCATTTTTACCATGATAAAAGGGGACGTCAAAGTTATATGACTGAATGAAAGTTCAAAGGATTTATTACAGCATTTGCCTGGCTGTTCTCCTGGGCTTTAGCAGAATTTCAGTGATGCCTGGTAAAAAACCTGGCAGATTCCATGGCACTCCAGCACACATAAGGGAAGCATGATGCTTCTGAGTGCATTTGCTATTGGGGCACATGAATAGATCTGTGCCTGTCCTGGGGTCTTCACGGTGCTTCTGGTTTTCTTGCAAAGGGCATTATAGAGGAAACTGCCAAAATGAACAAATCTTTCTTTTCTGAAATGCCTAAACTAAGTAAATGTCCATGATCTGATGTAATCTGTTCCTGAGCTCTCTTTGTCACCAACTTTTTTTCCAAATCCCAGTTGCAATAGCAGCTTCCTCCCACCTCCCGTGCGGCACCTTCTATCCCCACAGCCAGGACCAGCTGTGCCAGCCCAGCCCCAGGTCACTGCTCCTTGCTTCTCCTTTAAGGATGAGCTGCACAGTATACGCTGGTTTTATGATATGAGAAAAAAGCACCACTTGCCAGGGGTTTTCACAAGAATAATTTACCTCATCTTCTAAAAGCTTGTGAAATCACGCATTAGTCCAGTGACATTACTGGTTAGTGGTTAAGGCTTTTGAGTAGTAAAAAGGACAGAGTATTTGAATTTTTGTATTGAATTGTAATAAAGAAGCAAACTCATGGGGAAAACTCTATGCAGGGGTGGGATGTCAACATGTACATGTATAAATCCTTAAGGGAGCAATGCAGTAACTCCCTTGGTGACCTCTCTTTCTCTCCTGCTGTAGTCAGTGCTGTGCTGTACGTCTGCTTTGACTCCTTAATCTGGTTTCATAAAATCCGGTCTAAATTGAGACATTTGGGGTTTGCTACTGAACAGACCAGCCTGGTTAAAATACATGTAATAACCTCATAAAGAGAAAATATTATTTAATATTGTATTACAGCTCTGAAGTTCCATCTTTCCTAAAATTTGTGGGGGCTCACTTGTGGAATCAATTACATTTCTCTCTCCTTGCTTATGCTTTGCTCTAAAGGTAGCTGCAGACCCAGGGTATCTTGAGGTTATTAAGATAGCCTGCCCAAAACAGATACGAAGGCCAGACAGTCTGTGCATGCAGGGTGCTATTTTGCCATAAGTGTAGCGTGTGCAGGAAATCTCCTTGGACATGAACCTTAGCACAGAGGTAGCCTCACGGTGCTCCTGTTTTGTTCCTTGCGTTGTGTAACGGGGACCATCCAGCTGCATCGAGGTTGGTTGCCAGAACGAAACGCTCAAAGGAGGGCTGGCGCCGTGGCTCCTGGGAGATACCAGGATAAACAGCGCTGAGATCCGCACACAGGCCTCAGACCCTTTGCATCCCTTTTACTGTGTCAAACTGCCTTTAATGAAGGCTGTAAAATATATAGACATGGCTATAATCTTTAAGGATCAAAATGATTACCTGGCAAGTTGAAGTAATTAACTGTTCTCAGCCCAGGAATCAAGCCAGAGATATATGGTTGGAAGGATGCTAAAAGAATACATTAGCTCAGTATTAGTAGTGCTGTCCATCGTTTTTGTTTTGGTTTTGTTAAACAAGAACAAAACCTGTGGGTGGAAATAAGGTATTGACAGCTTTTATGACCACTGGAGTAAGTGAGAAAAAGCTTATCAGGAGAGATGAAGAACGTGGTTTAGATGCATGCGTTTGATCTGATAACATTGTTCTTTTTTTTTTCCTAAAAGTGTCATAGATTTTTGAAATAAAGTATATATTTAAAATATTAAAGCAGTGCCTTATAATCTTGAATTACGCTGATTCTTGAAGCTCGCCACTCCCTGAATTTGTCTTAGAGGTGGCTTGTCATTAAGGTAAGGAAAAAAAAGTGATATTTTGCCCACTTGCTGTCCGTAGAAGGGAGCTGATCTTTGTTCTGCTGGGCAAGGTGGAAATGTGCATAATCCATAAATACCAGACTCTTATGTGCTCATTTAATGTGTTTTGATTTCAGATCACCACACTATGCCTGCCCTGAAGTAATCCGGGTAAGTTGGTTAAAATCTGAGTATTAATGCCTACGTATCAAAATATGTCACTTCCTGCATGTATCCTCGCTACATGGAATGTCTCCAAGGCAAACAGCAATGCCATTTGGGAAAGGGAAGGGACACAAGCATTGTAGCTGTGGTTTCCCCTGTGTGACTTGGCCCTCAATCAAGCTGTATCAACAGTACAAGAGAACCTGTTCCTGTGTTATTCTCAGAGCACCTACATGTCATGGGATTGTCCTGAGCTACAGCAGCCTGATTTAACTTGATCTTTCCACCCAAGGACTGCAGTCTCCTACACTTTCTCTTCCTGTTGTGGCTATCACTGATGTGTGTTTTTGTTAAACTATATTAACTATCCCTTTACTCCCCCTTTGTCCTCCCTAAGCTGAGTGTCCAGGGCTCCAGGGGCCAAGAGCCCCCCCTTTTAAAGCAGAGCATTAATATAGAGCCAAACTGGAGGAGTGCAGAAGAGACAGTCAATACTCTTAGTTCGCAAATACCATGACCACTGACAAGCTCCCTGAAGAACCACTGAGGAGTAAAACGGCTCCTTGATGTAGGTTGGACTCTGTCTAAGTGCCGATCCTAATCATTTCCACATCACGGTCCATTCCTGCCCTACTCCCCACTTTTGACCCTGTTCTTGCAAAACCCAGATAAGATGGTTCATAAAAATTCAATTAATGGGCTGGGTCAAGGCCTCCTGGTTGGGAAGGTCTCCTTGGGAAGCAGGTAAATGAATTGAAATAGAGGGTTTCCCGTTCTCCTCTTTCTGCTTTTTCAAGGATAATGAATTCAACCACTAGTGAGCACTCTTTTGAACTTATGTGTCATTGTTGCGCAGGGAGAAAAATATGATGGAAGGAAAGCAGACGTCTGGAGCTGCGGAGTCATTTTATTTGCGTTGCTAGTGGTGAGTCATCTTCCTTGCTCTATACTTTAAAAAGAAAATAAAAAGCCCAAAATGCTGCTCTGTTTCACAGTGGTTCTATTGAGATCATGTATAGTTGTGTTTTCTTAGTTCCTCCATTTTTGCATCTTCAGTTGCATCCTTTTCTCTTACTGCTACATCAGTCCCAAAGGAAAAGCTTGAAAAACATTTCACTGCTGCTTTGAAATGCTTCTGCCCTGCACAGCAGAGCACAGACAACTGCCAGAGACTTGCCTCCCTAAATGCTGTGATATTGCAGCACCTTAAAAACCTAATTCAAAGCATATTGAAGTTCTTGGGCCAAAAGGATATGCAGGGTTACAAGTACATGTAACAAGTACAGTGTGCATATGTATACATCAACTACAGTGTTTTACCAAGAGGAGAATCAAGTGCAGCAGTTTTTTTCATGCAAGTATTGAGCTACATTTTAATTTAGTACACTTGAGAATATAAAAATGAGCCAAAACTACAGAGTTTAAATTAGTTTCCATCTGGTTTAGCAATACTTTTCTTAGTATTCAAAATGTTTTATCTCAGATCTCATCCTTGGTTCAGTCGAAGTTTCAGTGCTCTGTGGAATTTATTCTGAATTGCTCCCACTCCCAACCATACAACAACTGGATGCCTACCTGAAAGCAGACGACCTTGACATTTGTTATGAAAGTCCATATTCCATAATGTAGGAATAATATACATATATAGGAATATTTTCATAAAATAGGAAAACAAAAGATTATGTTCACATGACAATCATATTACCGTATGCAGATTTAATATATTAACTATTGAGGATTAACTATTAAGTATGTGAGGATCTATGTCCCTTTTATGGGACATAGATTCTGCTCATTATTTTTGCTTAAAATACTTGAAAATTATGAAGGAGTTCTGTTTCAATATTTATGTTGATAATCTGGAAAATAGTAAAAATCAAAATAACTTGAAGTAATCTCAGTAGGATGCTTTAAATCATCTTAATAATTTTTCATCTTTTTGGTCATTTCCATTCGCTCACATTTTTCAAGTTTTAGAATTTTTATGTTGATTTTGCAAGGAAGGAATTTTAATTGTCTCACAATTTATCATCAGGTCATCTTGTGTTCCTGAGCAGGTAGTTTCATGGATAATGGAACACAACTATAAAATGAACTCTTAATAAAGCTTCTTCAATTCTAGTAAAAGCAGAAAGAAGGTGGTGAGATATTAGGATTTGTAGGAGGGAGCTTTTCCTTTTCCTGTCAAGGCTTGGTGTCTGTCCCTCAGTTGCTGGGAAACGTCTTCATCTGTTCCTACATACATACATGAGCCTACAAAACAGTTGGAATAAGCCTACTACTGACAGAGCAGAGCTCTCTAGTTAATTATGTCAGGAGAAACGCTACAAAAAGTCTCAAGCTATAATAGTGGTAGTAATAAAAGCGCTGTAGTTGTTACCTTCAGGAAATGCCACAAAGCAGCCTTGCTGACTTCATCATGGATTAAATTGCACTAGCTAAAGTCCTGAACTGTCAGAATTGATTTTCCTGTAAGTCTGGAATGGTTAGGACAAGCTTGAGATAACCTGGATGATTGGCTACAGAGTGGGGGGAGGCTCTCTGGGATCACTCGGATGGGCAAAGAAAAGGAAGAAGTGCCCCATGGCTGTTCATGCCAGGCAGGCTTCCTGAGTCTCCTGCAAATGGAGCTGTTGGTCTCCATAAACCATATAGACAGAGGATCAATTATACAGGTGCTCTATTCACTGTAGTAAGGCCAGTGCCAGAATTGACAATCCAAAACTTCATTATCACAACAGCTGACAGCTTGCAACTTCCCACAAACCTTCCTGGAAATGAAGGAAGCTCAGAACCAACTAGAATTATGCAATGCAAGAACAAATTGACACAGAATAGCTAGCTTGCTGTAAGAGGATATCGGCTGCAGTGAATGGAGTTATCCTAAAGGTTTCTTTTCTTTCTTTTTTATTTTTTTTTCTTTTTGTCCTTGCAACGGGGATAGATTTTTTGCTGCCCTTTGTGGCAAGCTGATGATCTATTCAAAAGATAGATTTCAGCTCAAAAAACTCAAGACATTCTTGCAAGAGAGCTACTGTAGGGAAGCAATAGGAACTGATGATCTGACTGTGTCATGGGAATTGGATGGAATAGATTAAACAGATAGAATATCTGCTACTACCAAAGGTCAGTGTTGGTTAGGTTTTCTTTCAGCTATGTCACTCCATTGCTCCAAGAGAAGGAGGATGCTCCTTAGTGAAAGTTTCTCAAATGCTGTCCACCTTATTTTCAGCATTTGCAATAAATGTGTCTCGGGAAGATTAGAAATAAGGAAACGATAAACATTGCTGCAGTGAAAGTATGCCCAGGAGGAACACCAACAGATCAAAAGCTTGAGCTGAATTTAAGTGAATCCATGCATCTTTAGTGAATTTGCCTGGAAAGGCAATTTCATATTTTGGATTATGTTTTGTACTAGTATTCATTTTCTAATTAAAGGTTTAACAGAAAAAAAAACTGTCCTCAGTTTTGTTTTATATGTTGGAGAAAATACAACAGCACCTAGAAATCAGCTGTTTTCAGTGGATAGAAAGAGGGCTTCACATTTTGTAATAATTCAGTATGAACTGATTTTCTCTTTTTCTGTCTCTTATTATCCTTCTCCTTTTGCCCCCTCCAACTGCCTTTCTCTCATCTTTCCTATCCACAATTCTGTCATCCCTGCAGGGTGCCCTGCCATTTGATGACGACAACTTGCGGCAACTGTTGGAGAAGGTGAAACGTGGAGTGTTCCACATGCCACATTTTATCCCCCCAGACTGTCAGAACCTCTTGCGGGGGATGATTGAAGTGGATGCCTCGAAACGTCTCACGGTAAGAAGACATTTGCTGCAGGTCATGTGATCAAGGCTTCATTTGTCATCTCACTCTAGTTAGGGTTGGATAACTGAGATAACTGATTTATTGTCACCTCTCTTCATTTCCATCTAAAAAAAAAAAGGATGAAGGGAACTTGTGAAGTCTTTGGGAAGAGGCTAATCGCCTTCTCTTTTAAAGCAGCCACCTGGTATTACCACCTCTGTTTCCCTAACCTTGCAATTCACCTTCATAAGGCAATGGTGGACGCTTGGAATAACTCCCTTCTAATGTCATCACAGCACTGCTGATACAGGAGAGGGTTAATGGAGAGGAGGGTATTCAGAATTCCCAGAAGCTCAGCACCAACTAAAATTACGCAGTACAAGAGGAAAGTGAGACAGAACACCTAGGAAGGTGTCCACTTGGGTAGTCTGGTTCTCCTGGCTGATATACGAGGGTCATGATAGAACTATTTCAAAGTCAAAACTGCTAGGACTGTTCTTTGAAGCTTTACTTTTAAAAAGGTTAAGATTTTCTTACATTTCTGACTAAAACTGTGGCTTGTCACTTCAGTGTATTCTATCCTGCACATGCTCTGCATTATTCTCTGGCATCCTTCAGAGCAAGCGTCTTCTCATCTTCACATTGTGTCCTGAGTATGGGTAGGCCCACAGTGCTGAGCTCCTGGCACTCAGCACTGAGACTCTGCATCTAGGATGCAGCCTGGCACTGCAACAGAGGCCCTGCAAGGGTGAGCACTGTGTAGTGATGCTATCCTTCATTAACACTGCATTAATGTTTTGGAGAATTAAAAAAAAAATAGCAATTAAAAGCATTTTGGGAGGCAAGATTGCCTGCTTGTCAGTGGAGGCTTCTGCCTTTACGGGTGCATTGCCCTTGTAAATCCTATTGTCAGGCTCTGGTGATGATTTTATACAGATTTACTAAGCTCACAGATTCTGAGTGGGAGTATGTATAAAGAAATGTAAATTTAAAACTCCTCCTGGTTCTTCAGCCTGCTAAAATATTTATAAATAAACTCTCAGATCAGTGCTTGGCTTCTCTGCCGAGATTGCTAACAACAGCACCAGCCTGCACCAGCTGTGACAGTGCTTTTGGGATGGAGACACCTGTCTGCTAAAGAGAAACTGAAACTCCCGTCACAAGTGTTACCTACAGTGTTACCTGGCAGCTGCAGCTGCTTTATTTCATTCATTACAAAACCAGGTCATGCTCTATTTGGTGACTTAGGTGAAAAGTTCTTTGTATGATGACTAGGAACCATAACTATTTAGACCCAATCGCTGTTTAAAAAAAAATAACAAAAATGTTAGGCACAGAAAAAGGCCCTTACTTAAAAAAATAGCAGCCATGATCATCTAGTTATTTTCATATTTTCAAAAAATCCAGCAGAATTTAGGGCTGTACTCTGAGACGTGAAACGGCTTTTCTTTATAATCAAGAAAGTCGCCAGGAATCTACCTCAGTTTCCTTTTCATAAGGTAAATACGTTAGCTACCTCGCAAACTAAAAAGAAGAAGGCCAAGAGGTAACAGGGAATAGGAATAGGCAGATGAGACGATTTTTTGATCGAGAAGAAACCCTATTCCTATAGGGAGGAAGAAAACAGATTGGGTAGTTATTGGCAAACAATGAATTGTGAATAAGGATTTGAAATGAGATGTATGCAAGAGCTGAAAGGTGAGAGGAAAAAGGACTATTTGTTATTAGTTGCAATTTTATTTTCATTACTTTAGAGTCTTTCAGTTAGCTGTCCCTGCCTGCCTGCTGCTATCACACTTGCCTTGTTATTCTGCTGGCGTGGGGGCTGCTTGGCTTGCCAGGCAGAGGCATCACTTTGTTTAATGCACAGGAGCTGGGAGAATATGGTTTGTTTTGAGGAGCGATCTGAATTCTGTTGTAGCTGCCTCCTGTGAAAATGGCATGAATATAGGTCTATATGGAAGTCTCTATTCTTGGCAAATACCTCACTTGAACACTTCGGTATTTATACAAAGATCTATGAGGAATTGTGTTTTGGGTACTAAATGTACAGTTTGCAGCTGTACATATTAGAGCTGATCATTTGTTCAATGTCTTACAGCAGAAATGAATTCAGCAGAAAAATAGAGTGAAATTAGCTGATCATTTGTTCAATATCTTACAGCAGAAATGAATTCAGCAGGGTGAATTCAGCAGAAAAATAGAGTGAAATTTAAGGTCACTGGAATTCTTTTCCTCCCCTCTCTGCTTTGTTCCTTTTTGGGTTTGTATCTTTTTTTCATCCCGCTGCATTTCTCTCCCTGCAGTAATTGCCATTTCACAGCACACCCACACCTTCCCAGTCCATCTGTTGAAATGATCATCAAAAGCAGAGCTAGTGCTCGCGTTCAACTGCGAGCGCTCGGCTCCAGTGTTATAGCTGCAGAGGGTTAACAGAGAGGAGGGTATTCAGAGTTACTGGTGTTGGCCCTTTCCTGCCTTAGGAAATCGGCATTACCTTTTTGTGTGTGTGATTCATTTATGGAAAGAATACCTCATTATGGGATATTGGTCGGGCTCTGCAGATATCGTGTAGCCTGAAATGTGTTTGGTGGGCAAGGCTTCAGCACTCTGGTTTACTGAGTTTATTTAGCTAAACATACTTTAAATAAAAGAATCCATGTTTTGCTTGCACTAGGCACCACGCACTGGAGATCGTAGTTGCTGCTGCCACTGTTGTAGGTATCTCTGACCCCCTGTGTTTAGGAAACATTAAATCAAACTGGTACTGGTGCCAAGTCTGCCTGCTAAGGTGACGGGGAGATTGGAGAGTCTTTCAGGTTCTGCTTTAAAGAGCCCAGCTCTCTTACTCTGCCAAAATAGCTGAGGAAGGGTTTACTAGTTGTCGGCATATGCCTTAGAGGTAATTGCCAGGCAGAAGGGGTTTATTTAAGCTAAAGAAGATACTGACACAAAAATAAATGAATATCAAATGGCATTACATAAAAGCAAACTAAAATTTAGTATTATTTTAGCTGTGGCAGTCAGGTTGTAGGACAGCTTTCTAGTAGGAGGAGTGTTGGGAGGGCGAGTCAGCTGGTCTGAAGACGCCATTTGCCGGGTTTATACAAGGGAGCGAGTGCTCTCACTGCATGCAGTACCGCAGGGGGAGGTTCCTTAG